GTTTCAGAGTTTCATTTCGTTATCCGGTGCTTATCAAATCTACACTTCTGGACGTCACACATCGCGGACCGTGGTAAGCTCTATAGTGAGAGTCCACGCTGATAATGTGGGCGTGGTCAAGCCTAACCTAGTGCTCACTGGTGCATGCTTCCTTCCTGAACAGCAAAAAGGAGCAGTGCGCTAGTGAGGAAAGGCTGTCTCCTCCCACACGACCAAGGCAGACTGCGCCTTCCATGTACTACTGATAAGTGAGCTCTGGGCTTACCTTTAGTATGTCCTCACTAGCAATTACTAGCAATTTTCAATGGGGATTTTCAGGTTAATAGGGCATTGACAATTTTCTTCCATAGCCCTCAAGAAGTTGTACTATCCCATGATCTTTTGGCCATTACAGGACGATGCTTCCGAATTGTCTGACTACTTAGCCTACGTCGTTTTTGTCCTCTACCATCTCTCATCCTATTCGACAAGTCTTATTGAGGAGGAACACGATATTTGGTTAGTTTTGGAAGTTGTTTTTTCTTGGAGAGCCGAGGACAAAGTGACGACGTTTGCCACGCAAACTGCCCGGAGCCCAGATTTCGGAACGAGTCCTGCGTCAAGCAAAGTTTTTCATTCATCCTGGGTAGGGTACATAGTTCCACAGCGAGTGGAACTCTGTACCCTACCCAGGATGAATGAATGATGATATAATCGCGATGGACAGTTTTTCCAGAGTGCTCTCCCCCCCCCCCCTCCCCAACTTCCGGTGAGCGATTGGATTGGTGTGGACATATAGCCCTGATCGTGCAAATCTGGGATGTATCAGTAGGGGGGAGGGGAAGGAGCAGGGTTTGGCCCGGCTCAGCTTCAATTGTAGTCGCTGTCAGCTTCCTGACCCGAACCACCAGCGAACAAGCCGGTATACCCTAAGTTCCTGTAGGCGTGGTTACGTTCTTCATTTGAGCCCAGCCACGCCTACCACATCTCAGGGAAATGTAGCGTACATAATATCGAGTACGGTAAAACATCGTTCATTGCTCTAGAGTGGGAGAGAGATGGAGGTGTCTGGAGCAAGAGTAGACCCTTACTAGCCAAAAACGACCTTACTTTCCTCAAAAGGAATGGGTGCCTTGTCTACGTTTGGGAATATGAAAACGTTAAATTGTACGTCGACTTGCACTCGCAAGTTATTTATGAGCCAAATAGCATCCCAGTGTCACTGTTTGGGCTTGGCATAGCCCGAAAAATAATGATAGTTCGTTTCCATGCACAAGTAGAGCTGATGAAAACTGAGAATATCAGACTTCTTATATTTTGTAGCAAGTCGTCTTTGTCGTTGGATCATCCTTTTTGTTTAAGGTATTACGTTTCTTCAACGTTAATTCTGCACAAAATGGCTACCATAGTAAGAACTCCGGAAAAATCTGGATATTCTTCGGAAACGGTACGTTCTTCTTGTACTTGTGGAGGTTTCACGTTTCGAGCGAAATAGTCGCTGGCTTTCCAAGATGGTACAAAGTAAGGCACTTTCCACGCTAATAATATGGGCGGAGATCGCTGAAGATTTCCTGCTTGCAGCGCTTAAAACTTCGGAGCGGCGTTGCACTACTATGTCTTCACCGTTTGGCAATGAGCTTCACGTCCCATACCAGGAGAAGATGGTCGATGAGACAAGGTGTCTTAACCATGTTCCGGGCCTATACCTACAGAATAATACCGTTTGCTTTTTCAGATGTTCTACCCCCTCCAATACTGCCTGAATTCCGATTCAACGTCCAATTACTCGACGACTTTACGACAGATCTCAACTTATCAGAGCTCGCGAAATGGTATGTCTAGTTGGTATCGCCGCACTCTTGGAGGAGGCGGTGTCAGGACGCGTGGATTGAGCCCACCCGCGGCTGCGTTTTCCACCAATAGTAGTCGGTTTGAGGAGAAAGGAATCAGAACGCCGTGGAACTCATTCCACGCTTCCTGATGCCGACTTCGACGACTCCAGCTGAACGTCTATAGACGGTATGCAGCTTGGCATCCAAATTTGAATGGAAATTGAGTGTGTGGCTCATTCCAACGTATTCGTAGAATAGATCTGTACAGTATGCTAAACTGATATCATCTGAGAGACTTCTCGTGCGCTATTCGACTTGGGAGGGGCTAGTCACCAATTTCGAGAGGGCTTACAATTCATAGCGGTTTGGGGAGACGGACAAGAAAATCGTAGCTGGCGTCGTCGCGACGCATCGCGCGGCAAGCCCGATGTGCATCAGTTTATCACTTGGAGCAGAGAAACTAATATGAATTTGAGCGGAGGCAGGACTCCATGCCGAGTGGGTCAAACTCACCCCCCCCTCGTTCAACATTAAGAGTGAAACAGTCAGGCGAGACAACCTGCGTCCTCGGGCGCGGCATCGCTCACCACGTCCACCAGCGCGGCGTATTACGATAGTCTTGTCACACATACTGCTGGTTCAACCTAAGGAGCTACCTCCTGTCCAGAAAACTGGTGGCTACTTCAGCCCCGAGGCAAAACTGTCGACTGGCACCGCATATAGCGCCACATAACGTAACATTTATATTACTGGATTTTAGGATGCCGTTTACAACAACAGTGCTATGTGTTGGATATTTGGTCGCACGTGCGCGTCCGAGAAATAGCGGCATTCTGGTATACGCCGTGTCTGCGGCCATATGCTTGCAAACATTTTTGGACGACAGCAAACGGTATAGTCCAACTTTCTAATGGGAAAAAAGAGTTCCTGCAACAGCAGTACTGTCCTCATTTCAGGTTCATGATTGTCTACTTCATAATCGGAGGAGTCATCATCACTTTGCTGTCGTCTGCACCGTTGGCTGTTATATTGTACCTGAGCTATTTAGTTCGTCCGGAGACACTTCCACTGCTCATTATTTCCTTTGAAATGGGTGTTCGTGCAAGAAGAGTGTCCT